TTACTGTTTATGTAGTGAAGGATCTACTTTTCAGCAAGGGGGGAGGGGTGACTGATAAGATATAACAGAACAGAGCTAGTTTTTGCAGTTGGTTCCTGCTTTAGCGGCAAGTAAATTCTAGATAATCAATACTAGAATGTTGTAGTATAGAAAGTTCATCGCAAAAGTACAAGAGTTTTATTTTGGACAATGGTTTACATTTGATATACAATTTGCTGCAATTACATGGCTGGTGTGAGTTTTGGTTTTGTATGAGATTCCAAGCAGTTTGGAAGGGAAATTCCATAATATAATTATATGACTTGCATGTGTGAATGAGCCAGATCACTTTCCAGGATAGTACTAGCTAGATCACTTTACAGGATAGTACTAAAGAAAACTTTCCATTGTTGGTTTCTTCCTTTCTTGGTTATTTTATATATACGATGCAAAAGTTAATGTCATTTATCTCATATGCCCATGTTTACTATTTCAGGACCCATCAAGTTGTCTTGTCCAAATTCCGAGAGTACATTTAAGAAGAAACTCAGAAAACATGAACTCTGAAGACTTGAAGGATCCTTTCCACAAGAGGGTTGAGATGAAATTGCGTGCTTTATCTGATAGGATGAGTGCTGAGAAAGCTGCTGCCTCTTCTAGATCTTCTCCGTACCAAAATGCTGATAGAGCTGCCATTTCTTCCAGATCTGCTTTGTGCCAGAACACTGATAGAGTCGTTGCACCATCTAAATCAGCTACACAAGCTTCTCACAAGTTTTTGAAAGAAGTACAGCCTGCAGCTACCCTTCCTCGTACAAATTTCTACAACAAGGGATCGTCTGTTTCTCATGTTGCCTCTAGCAACAGCAGTAATACTGGGAAGCTGGCTACTAGAAGCTCAGTTATGCCCAATTCACCTCAAAATAATGCAAAACCCTTGCAGGATGCTCAGGTAGCTTTTGCCCCTAATCAAATGTTGATTTATCCTTTAAACTTATTCACAAATGCAACTTTGGTCACTTGCTTCTACATATGGACCATAATTTCCTTTTGCTAATCGTCAGAAGATATTTTTGCAAGTTCGGTATAACAAATAGTTAAACGCTTCTAATGGTTTATGGGAAGTTGATAAGCTTAATTAATCTTGGCAGGTCGCATCGAAAAGAGGCACAGGTCTTATCAGTACAAGCAATGGATCGCAGAACAAAAGGTCTTCATTTTGATTTCATTTCTACTCCCTCCGTTCCTAAATATAAGTCTTTTTAGAGATTTCAATAAGGACTACATACGGATGTATATAGACATATTTTAGAGTGTAGATTCACTCATTTTGCTCCATATGTAGTCCGCATTGAGATCTCTAAAAAGACTTCTATTTAGGAACGGAGGGAGTATTCAGCATATGTTGTGGAAATCTTGAATATCATTGAAACCTCTGTACTTGTTTGAACTGATTTTCAGGAAGCAGCTGAGCACGCCAGCGGCATCGGTTGGAAATTCCTGTACTAGAGGATCTATGCACATATCTGCACCCACAAGTGCAAGGTTTGTTCCTAGAGTGTGGAATGATTTATAAATTTGGTGTGAAATATCTGTTTCTTTTTTATGTAAATTGCTCCGTTCTTTGTGCAGAAGTAGCAGCAGCGGCATCCGACCTTACAAAGCTGCAAAGGCACTCCGGATTTCCAACGGGAGGAACGCAGCGGTTAAGGTAAGAGCAAACAGTGCCCTGGGATGATTCGTAGGATTATTGTTATAGACTGAAATCGCTTCCAAATCACAGCACTTGCTAATGTGGTTCTGTTGTAGACTGAAATGCTGCAGAAGTCCACAACATATGAAACCCATTCTGTTGGAGGAAGGAATGCTTTGTCAAAAGTTACTGTAAACGGCAACGAACAAAACAGAAAGGTCTGTTCTTTTCTTTTTGCATGCATGGGGTAACCAGTAACCACTAGCCAGGGATCTGTAGAAGTCGTATAAATCCATATGTCTATATACAAATTCATAGGTCCCCGCAAAAAAAAAATCATCGGTGACTATAAAAAAAACTAAAGGTTGGTTCGTGCACACATCTTGTGTAGGTAATCTCGTCGCGTGATGGCAAGAGGAGCAACCTGGCGTGCAAGAGCAAGCCAAGGTATTGCCATTTGTGCGTATTATTATGACTGACTACTGACTGATCACTACACAGATACTCCCTCCGTTCCTAAATATTTGTCTTTCTAGACATTTCAAATGGACTACCACATACGGATGTATGTAGACATATTTTAGAGTGTAGATTCACTCATTTTGCTCCGTATGTAGTCATTTGTTGAAATATCTAGAAAGACAAATATTTAGGAACGGAGGGAGTAGAATTTATGTGAATTGCTGAAAATCTGCCACTTGATTGTTCATAGCTCCGTATGTAGTCATTTGTTGAAATATCTAGAAAGACAAATATTTAGGAACGGAGGGAGTAGAATTTATGTGAATTGCTGAAAATCTGCCACTTGATTGTTCATGAAACAATTCTGTTTCTTTGTTAATGGAACAGTTCTGTTTCTTTGTTAACTGTGCAGACAGGAGAGGCCGCGATGGCGATGACGCGCCACTTGAGGAGCAGTTTGAGATGCGCGAGTTGGCACGGTTACTTGGTTATATGGTTGTTCAAGGGCCTTCTCTCAACCTCGGTATAGTATTAAGGTTGTATGTTAGGCATGATGTTTTGCTGCTGCTTGTGACCTCTATTCTACCATGAGGCGTGATATATGATTCTTGTGTCAAGTTCAGAGCAAGGAAAGAGCAGGGAAGGCAGCGCTGTTTCGCCACAGATTGTTTGCCTGTTGTTGTCTGGTTGGTGAGTGAAAGCGAGACGTGGGAATACTAGCGATTAACTTGTGCTCGGAGCTACTGGAATTGCGGCCATAACGCTACGATTTGTCTCCACGTGTCTGCTGATTGTAGGTTTTCCTTCTGTTTGTGAGAGCTTCTCCAACAACTAGCCGTTGGGGTAAATTTTAGGGCACAAAAAAGTGACTTTTAGGACACTAAAAATTGTTCTTCTCCAGCAATTGTCCTATTTTAGGCCACTCAGATATACTAAAACATCCGAACTACTTGATCACATTGCACACATGCAAACTTTCAATTGTTCAAATATCTAAACATTCAAACTTACAAATCTCCAAATAGTTCTAAACATGCAATGATCTAAACATGCAAACATTCGAATTTAAACATAGTAGACTCCTCATCACTCTCACGTGCAAGGCTATCCTAGTCAATGTCCGAACCCTCGTCGTTGGACTCCACCTTAATCATCTATGAAGGCCTTAGCTGGTCCTCCTTACCATAGCACTATTTAGCCTTGAGAAAAGCCCCTTTCTCATCAACATCTCGACTTCGCTCGTTGTTTGAGGAGATCAGATCTATCCCGGGAATCCAAGGATGCAGAAATATGAAATCGAGCACAGATTACAGGAAACAAGCATACAATCTTACCTTCCAGGGAGTCGAGGAACAACAGATGAGATAGCCAGGGGGCTGGGTATTAGGTTTCCTTTTCCGGTCGCGCTCATGGTCCCTCTTCTAGAACCACTCTGCCTTGTACTGCACGAGGTGCGGATTTTCTGCTCTGAGCCTCACAATGGCCGCCTACTCACTCTCCCAGGTATCCCGCTCCTCGAGGACACATCAGGTCTCCATCTCTCGCGGGGCAGGACACAATGGTCACTAGCGGCCCGATGAACCCCGCATCCTCCCGCGTCTCGATCTTTGCTTGCGTTCTCCACCGTCTCGAAGCTGCCGAGCCAATACCGTCGACCGTTGCACTGAAACTCGACTGAAAGGATCGAGATGGACCTAGAGGGGAGGATGGTGAGTAGGTACACTTACAAAATTTAATATTTACTCCCTTTGTAAAGAAATATAAGATCGACGGTATATGTTTCTTTACGGAGGGAGTATTAGTTAGCAATTTAGTCCATATGCGGAATATGAAAGTGAGCCTAACAATTTGCAAAGGTGTTTCTAATGCTACCAGTAGCAATATAATCAACAACAACCAATTACAATATAACAAGTAAAGACAAGGAGACAAATAAATCACAAGTAAGAAGCCAGGATTAGTGATAATTAACTGAAACTCTAGAGACGAGGATATATCCCAATATTCACTTCCTTGAAGGGAACCTAGTCACTGTTGGAGCATTGGAGTTACCCTAAATCCAGGCTTCCACCTGCCCCTCTCTATGTGAGCAGAGCATGACTTGGCCCACCCTTAAACGTGTGTGGCACGACATGAAAAATGGTTCACGGCGGCATGTTTATAAACGGGTCATCCCATTGCCGACACCTGTGCCGCACTTTCAGGCCTAGGTATGACACAACTGCTAAACGGGCCGACACGACAGGAAACAATGGTCAGCGGCAACACGTTTATAAACGGGTTGTGCCGTGCCGGCACACGTGCCGCACTTTCAGGTCCATGCATGACATAATTGCTAAATGGGCCGGCCCGACACAACACGTGTGTCGGTTGGCCCGCGTGCTATTCAGCTTTTGGGCTGTTTTGTGCCTATTTTTGGCATTTTAGGTTGTTCAAAAATAAAAAAAGTTCAAATATAAACGGGCTGTGCCAGCACACGGGACTTGCCTCATGCTGGGCCGGGTACACACGACGTGCCAGGTACGCATGATTTTGGCCCGGCCCGCGTAGCACGGCCCAGATGGCCAGGTCTGCGTGCGAGCTTAGAACAGCCGATGCCCTGGGCCCCCAGGATAGTCAGCTTCGCTGCAGCGCCTGATGAGCATGCTCCGCCGCGCTCTCCTGCTCGGCCACCGCCTCCGCCGAGGCTTCTCCTCGGGTGCGGACCTGCCTCCGCCGCGCCCATCTGCCAGCCGCCGCGTGGTCGTGACGGGGCTGGGGGCCGTCACGCCACTCGGCCGCGGCGTCGGGTCCACCTGGGACCGCCTCGTGGCCGGAGACTGCGCGGTGCGCGCGCTCGCCGCGGAGGACCTACGCCTCACCGGGGATGCCGCGGGGAGGACGTTGGAGCAGCTCCCATCCAGGGTCGCCGCCGCCGTGCCGCGCGGGAAGGGCGAGGCCGAGTTCGACGAGGAGGCGTGGACCAAGGTTTATGACTGACACTTCAGTAGCCCCTAATCATCCAGTATACATTGGTTTTCCCACTGTTGCCGTGAGATTGGATTGGTGCTCTTTTTTCTGCACATGATTGTTTCACGTGCGATTTATCATATATGAATTGCTAGTTTACATGCTTGATATAATTGATTCGAGAATGGATTTCATGTATAAGCTGCTCAACAGAAATTTAAATGAAGCTGTTACTTTCAGCAAACTATACAAGCTTTCCTGTAGACAATGCTGCAATACAGTCATGTCATAACTGGTACTGATATAAAGACCCTTATCTTCAGTGCCATTAGGAGTAACACAGTCTTCAATGCCACGGCACTTTGCTGAACCTGTTTTTCGTGTCGTTTCTGTCAGATATCTGTATGATTTAAGTAGATAGATTGTCTCTCTTTCTCCCTCTTCTACAACTGGAAATCTGTTGTGTTCTGATAAGATGCTATCGTGTGACTATAATATGCAACTGGTGATGTTATCTGTCTCACAGTTAAACTTTGTTTCATATTTCGAACTGTTGATTTAACATTTTTGTTTCCAGGACAGTAGATCTATATCGGGATTTATAGCATATGCTCTATGTGCAGCTGATGAGGCTTTGAGAGATGCAAATTGGTTGCCTTCAGAAAATGAGAAGAAGGAAAGAACGGTACCAATTGCTTTTGGTGGAAGCTCTTTTCCTTTTTTTGTGTTTTTGCCGAGTTGCTGGATCTAATTAGAACCTTTATCAGGGTGTTTCAATTGGTGGGGGAATCGGAAGCATCTCAGACATTTTAGATGCATCACAGCTGATTGCTGAAAATGTTCGTACCAACAGTCACTGCAATTTGCTTTATTCTCACTCTTTTCCTTCTGTATTGTTAGTCATTGTGCAGCTATAGTGATTCTCCCTTTTATATTATATTGCTATGTGCCGAGTGAGAAATACAGTGTTAGATACAAGCAAAATAATGGCGGCTATCGGCTGGCCACTGGCATTACTGGTGGGCGCCAGTAGCGTTAAGATAAGAAAATTCATCTGATGTTAGCTACTCAAGTACTCCCTCTGTTCACAAATATAAGATGTTCTAAACTTTTTCTGAATCAGATGTATAGAGACACGTTTTAGTGTGTCTGTTCATTCATTTCAGTCCGTATGTAGTCCATACTGAAATAGCAAAAACATCTTATATTTGTGAACGAAGGGAGTAAGTTTGAAGAAAATTGTGAGAAGATATGTTATTTAATCAATGAACAGGAAAACTGAGCGCTAACCGGCCAGGAATAGGATAAAAGGGCAGCCCGGTGCACGTAGCTCCCGCTTGCGCAGGGTCCGGCGAATGGTCTGACCACTTTGGGTCTTTTGTACGCAGCCTTCTCTGCATTTCTGCAAGAGGCTATTTCCAGCGGCCAGGAACGGGATACATTGAATTTTTAGTTTACACTTGATAGTTGAAACTAGCCATTACAAAACTACTTATTGGTGGATGCTACTGGCCAAGACCAGCACTTTATCATATCTGATTTTTTTTAATTCTTCGTTTACATGAGAATCAATCTATTTTTACGTCTTTTCCAAATCTTTGGCCTGCACAATACATGGCTTGCAATATATTCCCTCCGTCCCAAAATAAGTGTCTTAACTTTATACTAGGTTTTATTTTGGGACGGAGGGAGTAACTCATTATCTTCTGGTCACTTCCAGCACTGACGTGTGCAATTTATTTTCTTCTGAATGCAGCGTCTACGCCGTCTCAGCCCATTCTTCATCCCCAAGATTTTGATCAACATGGCATCAGGTCATGTCAGCATGAAATATGGTTTCCAGGTGTACATTGTTATTGTCATATGCCATAGTTCAGGCTTTTGTTTCCATTTTGTATAATTATTGCATGAATCACATTGATATTTAATTATTCAAACCTAGGGTCCAAACCATGCTGCCGTGACAGCTTGTGCCACAGGCGCTCACTCTATTGGTGATGCTACACGGATGATTCAATTTGGAGATGCAGATGTGATGGTGGCTGGAGGAACAGAGTCTAGTATTGATGCTTTATCTATAGCTGGATTTTCTAGGCAAGTATGTTCGCATCTTCACAATTGTTTTGATTTGCTTAATTTCCCAACTACTCTGTCTAGATGCTCCTTAAGGTTTCAATGTACACCTGTTGACTGAAGGTTGTAGGACAAAGTAGAGAACTCATGTTTTTGTCCACAAACCACTCGTGGTCGTGGCTCATAATATCATATGCAAACTTAATCTGTTTATCCAGAAAAACTTAGTTACAGTCACACTCTTGCACTTTTTATCCGCTATCCCCATCACTAGTATTGCCAAAACCATCTTATTTTCACTATAATGTTCTGCAGGTTAAGGGCATTGTCTACAAAGTATAACTCTCTTCCACAAGCATCTTCGAGGCCATTTGATTGTGGCAGAGATGGATTTGTGTACGTCATACTTCTATTGAATCGTATTTTTTACTTCCCTTAGTTTTTCCTTCCTATTGCGCGTTCTTATCTTCCGTCTTAAAAAACCAATAGGATTGGTGAAGGTTGTGGAGTCATGGTGTTGGAGGTGAGTTCAGAGGAAACACTGATCATTTCCTGTTGTCTGTTCTTACCTTTGCTGTTTCCAAGCTGCTGGTTCGCTGTTATTTTATAGGATCAGTCATTTACATATTGAAAAAAATGTCCATAGCACTTTGTTAAAGAGTTTGTCAAAGGACTTAAATCGCCATAGTATTGCTCCTTTAGAAGCTGCTTGGAAGAATGGTGTTTCTTGGTGAAGTTTTGGTATCTGAGTCAAATTTGAACTAAATGCCAAAACTTACCTGCAAATACTCCTTTTCTGACCAGGCCCTTATTGTGTAAACTTTGCTGTATCCTGTATATGGTATATGCAACTTTTATTCTGGAAACTGTCCTATTGCATTTTTGTTTGCTGAACAGACTGTACATCAATTTATTCCTGTGTAGGCACTTGACCATGCAATGGAACGAGGCGCAAAAATTTATGCAGAAGTTCGAGGCTATGGCATGTCTGGTATCCTCCGATTCCACAAAAGAGATGGTCTACTTTGTCATTAGTATGTACTGCATCATGAACATCAGCTTCTGTCAGGTGATGCACACCACATAACTCAGCCACAAAATGATGGTAGAGGTGCTATCTTAGCCATGGAAAGGGCATTGGAACAGGTGTGGCATATTCTTTCTAATTCGTGTGGTGCACATTTTAAGCATTTATTAAGCTTTGAGGAATTAGAAATTACATTTTAAACACGTATTCAGCTTTGAGGAATTAGAAATCACATCACAATAATTATTTTCTTGACATTCTGATTTTGATAGAATTCTTGGTCCTTTTCTAGTCAGGGCTTCAGGCAGATCAAATTGATTATTTGAACGCGCATGCAACATCAACCCCTCTCGGTAGGTGCTCACACTAAGCCTGGCAAAATACACCTGGGCTGGCATGACTTCTGTTTATTCTATCTTGTGGGTAAACTTGTGTTTATAATTCTGCGGCATCTTGAGTTATGATAAATAAGCTGATGTCTTGGATCTGAACCACAATCAGGGGATGCTGTCGAGGCAACTGCAATAAAATCTGTCTTTGGCCACCACGCGACATCCGGTGGTCTTGCGTTATCCTCAACTAAGGTACACGTCATTCTGCGCAGCTAAACTGTCACAGCTCCCGCACTAGTCTAGTCCATTTTATGACAATGACTGAGGACCAAAAGAACCCGTCTTCTCCAGGGAGCAATCGGTCATCTGCTAGGGGCGGCTGGATCAGTGGAAGCAATCTTCACCGTGCTAGCAATCCACCATGTATGTTACCCACCATGAGTGATCCCTGGTCAGTAGCTCCATGCAATGAAAAATTGCTCTGTAGCCCGTACTCATCATCACATGCAATTTTTGCAGGGAGTGGCGCCGCCCACGCTCAACCTGGAGCAGCCCGATCCACTGTTCGAAAGCGCGTTCATGCCTCTAACCGCCGCCAAGAAGATGCCGATACGGGCCGCCATCTCGAATTCCTTCGGGTTTGGTGGAACCAACGCGTCACTGCTGTTCTCGTGTCCGCCCTAGCGACCCAAAATCACCCTCTCACTCTTCTGTTTTCCCCTTCGAAGAGGCATATCAGAATGCTGAGAGTTTCTCTGCCCGTGAACTTAATAAACTTGGGAAGGCACCATCCGCGTTGAGCAGGAGTTGGGGGGTTTCAGGCACTGACGTTTGTGCTGTGCTCCCGTGAGTCCGGAGCATCGCCCAACTTGTGGGCGCTGCTTACTCGTAGGCCGGTAAAGTTTTACAGAACGACAATTTATCGCTGAATTTTTATTTTATTTTGTTTGAGAGATAGAATTTTCGCCGAGCCGGTTAGGTGCAGCGACGTGCGCCGCTTGTGAGAGAGCACCTCGTGAGGGTGGCCCACCTGCCAGCCTCCCCATGCGGCCGGGTCGCACGTACGACCCGGTTGTATTGGATTATTTTGCAGCGACGTGGGGGTGACTGGCTGGTGAGGAGGTTTGGCCGTCGCTCTCACGTGCTAGCTACCACGGGAAGGGGAACGAAACCAACCCAAATGCAGTGCTGCTGCCTGCTGTTTGGATGCTGTCCGTGCATACGTCCAACGGGGGCGAAACCTGAGGAGCGCTAGCACTCCACAGTCCACACGCAAATGAACTCCTCGCCGCCCACGGAAAACAAGGCAAAAAAGATGAGTTTGAAAGGCTGTTTGTTACAGCATCAGATGAACACGAGCTGCTTATCACTTTCTAGAACTGTAAGTTCTCGACTATATGTCTTAGGGCATCTCCAGCCGTTGGCCCCCCAGGAGGGGCAAAAAATCGCCCCTGGTGGCGCACCGGCGCTAAACCGCACACTAGGGGCGTGATGCCCCCCAGTCGCGGCGCCCACGGTATTTTAAAAAATTTAAACACGGCACAAACACGGCGCAAATTCATTGCAAACTTCGGCGAGTTCGTTCAAACTTAAACATATTTTACAAAAAAAAAAAGAAAAAACTACCGCGGGCTACCCCCGTCGTCTTCCTCGCCGCTCCGCCCACGCGGTTCTACATGCCGAGGAGGCTGTAGAACCGCGTGTAGTCACCGCCGTCGTCCTCGTCCTCGTCGTCGTCGTCGCCGCCGCCCCCGCCTACGCCTCCGCCGTCCCTGCTGCATCCCTCCCCCGGTTGGCGCGGCGGGTTGGAAGGTCCGGGGGCGTCGTCGTCGTCGCTGTCGAGGACCACGACGACGTGCTCGTCCTCGCGCCCACGTTTGCGGGCGGCGATCTCCTGTAAGTGCATCTAGTGCCCCTTAGTGATTTTGGTGTATTGAAGACTTATAGGTTAAGGGACTAATGCGTTTGTGAGTGTACACAGGTCTATAAGTCTATGAGGAGTTTGATATTTACAGAGAAAGTCGACCCCTAAAAATGAAGTTTTTCGACTGAAGACTTTGATATTCTGAGGACTTTCTGAAGACTTTGAAAGTGAAGAAATTGGTGTGACATTGAAGACTTGGTATTCATTTGTGGAACATGAAGCGTGAAGACTTTTGTTTTCGTAGTTTCATTTTCTCTTTCTTGAGTCATAGGAAACACCGTACTGTTAAAGGGGGTCGAGGAAATACTAAGGAAAAATTTCCATGTGATGCTCAACTCAAAATCCTACACCTATCAATCCTTTCGAGTGAAGCCTTTGGAAATCTCATACAGTTCAGTCACTTTTTTCAGTGACAGAGACGAAGTTCTTCTGGTCGCTGATGAATTTGTTCTGACTGAGGAGTTAGGAATTCGCCAGTGCGAATTGCCTACACAGTGAGGAACATGATAGCCCTGAGGAATTTGAGAGTCAAATTTCCGACCGTTGCTGTGCTGCGCGCCAGCTGTCCCAAAATATCTTATCCACCTAACAGTCATATCATTGAAGGGCATTTATGTCTTATCATGTCGGGCTGCTCCCTAGGCTATAAATAGCCGCCCCTACAACCACTAGCTGGTTGGCTGCTCCAAGAGAACTTGACACTTGTCATTTGAGAGCAACCCATCCTCCGAGGACTTTGAACGAAAATCATCAAGTGAGGAAAACCCAAAACCAAACCCCTACAAACCCAAAGTGATTGAGCATCACTTAAGAAATTGATCCTGCGTGGATCCGACGCTTGTTACCTTTGAAGATTGTGCTTCTTCCAGACGGTTAGGCGTCATGGTCTAGAGCATCCAAGAAGAATTGTGGATCGCCGAGTGACCAAGTCTATGAAGGTTTGGAAGTCGCCTGAAGACTTACCACGAGTGATTGGACGAGGTCTGTGTGACCTTAGTTCAAGGAGAATACGATGAGGACTGGGTGTCCTGAGCTGCGTGCTCAGCGACTGGGTGTCCGGGACTGTGTGTCCTCGAGTTTAAATACTCAGCCACTCCAACCAGACGTACAACTGAGACAGCAGTTGGAACTGGTCTACCAAATCATTCTCTTCACCAACCTAACTGGTTCTATTTCCTCAACCCTTTCATTTCCTCATTACTGTGTTGAGTGTTTGTTCATATCTGTGTTTGAAGACTTTGACTGAAGACTTTCTCAATTTCCTCAGTTTAATTTCTTCAGTCTGTTTGTGTTCACCTTGTGTTATCCTGTGATTACGCTTTCTGTACTCAGTGCTTGTCTTCATTTTATCTTGATGACCATGCTTGTATTCTGTTATGCTTACTTCTGAGTACTTATTCCGCTGCTAGTAGTTCTTCGCTAAGGAATTTCCTCACAGGCAAATTCCTCAGTGAAGAATTCATAAAAATCGCCTATTCACCCCCCCCTCTAGTCAATATAACGCACTCTCATCTCCTCCAGGGCCCGGCGCTGCCGGGCCGTCTCGTCGCGGAGGTAGTCGTCCCGCGCCCACCGCATGGCGTCCTCGTCGGAGAAGCCGCGCCGGGCTATCTCCTCGTACTCCGCGGGGAGGCCGGGCTCTGGCTTGGGCTCGACGAGGACGAAGCGGCTGGTGGGTGGGGAGGCGTTGGCGCCGACGCGGACGCGGGAGCTGCGGGTGCGCGCGGCGACCGGTGTGCCCTCGGGCTCCGGCTTGACGGGGCGGAGGCAGGGTGAGCAACCGGACGAGGAGGAGGACCCCCCGGTCTCCATGCGCCTCGGGGTCCAGGAGCTTCCCCGGCGACGTGAGAAGGAAGGGGGAGCAGGGTACTCGAGGCGTGGCGTGTTGTTGCCCTCGATGTACTCGAGGACGGCCTCCAACGTGCGCCCGGGCACGCCCCACCACCGACGCCGGCCAGCGGAGTTGAGCCTGCCGGAGGGCACGATGCCGTTGGTGGCCTCGAGTTGCTGGGCGTGACGGCGGCGGAAGTAAGGGTCCCAGAGCGGGCTGTCGGGGATGTGCCGTGGCCCCTCCCTCGCCGCACACGGCAGGTTCGAGCGGATGCGTGCGATCTCCGCACGCCGCGCCGCGCCGGTGGGTACCGGGGGCACTGGCACGCCGCCCGCGCTGATCCTCCACGCCCCGGGCACCCGCATGTCCGGCGGGACCGGGTACTCGGCCTCGTAAAGGAGGCGAGCCTCGTCTTCATGAAGATGATGGCGGCTGAAGCCATTCGCCGCCGTGCCGTCGCCTGGGAAGCGCTCCTCCATGGGTGTGAACTGGAGACGGCGAAAGAGAGGAGAGGAGGAACGACGACGGCCGGAGAGTGTGAGTCGCCGAGTGCGCCGGGGCGCGTCATATATAGGCCGAGGCGCCGCCCACACCGTGGCACTGTGTGTACGCGTGGCGGGCGAGGGAGGGCGAGGGGACGCGCGTCGTCCGGTCTTCACTGCGCCGCCCGTGAGGCATCAATGGCGCAGGCTGACCGGCAGGGCAGCGTGCGACAGCTTTGGCATTGATTCGCCGCGGGGAACGAGGCGATGAGGACGAAGAAGGGCCGAGAAGAGAGCCGTGTCGCTGACGCGGCGGGCCTGCGGCTTCTTCGCGCCAAAAAAGTTCGTCCGGCACCCCCGAGCGCCCCCCAGCGCACCGGGTTCGGGCTGGGTCCGCCGGCGCTGTTTTTGGCCCAAGCCGGCGAAAATCGGGCTCCTGGGGGCGCGACTGGGCCGTTTTTTCGGCGCCGGCGCGAAAAAAAACGCCTGGGGAGGCCTTCTTGGGGGCGCGGCTGGAGATGCCCTTAGAGTTCAAAAGGATGGAAACCACGCAGGGGGCTCTGCATGTGGTACATAAGTCGCTAACGAACACCTCTCTAGAGGCTCTGGATTCCTGACACCCCACCGACGTTAGAGCAACTCCAGCTCATGCGCCGTATTTTGGATCGCCAAATTCGTTATGGAGGTGATTGCTAGTATATTTTATGAATGTTCCATAGCTAAACTCCGATTAATTGTAACGGAGCCTCCCAAAAAACATAAAGTGGAACTGCTTTTGAGATCATCGGGGACATTTACTCAGGGTATTGCACGCCAGATGAAACAACTCATGGCAAAGAGACTAAGGAGCAACACAAAACAAGCAAAAGATAGAGATACTGGTCATATGGATGGAGAGACTATAGATACGTCACTCCGAAATACATGAAGGACTTTGCAGTAAAGCCACCATGCAATAGAACATCACTTGCTCCTGGTCAACTGGCTGATCCTGCAAGCACCAGAAGGGGTGAAGAATTTCCCAAGGAATGGACAAAGCGTTAGGCTAAACTGGCGTAACAGGACAAGAAGGCCGTTGAGGAATTCAAGAGGGTCACAAAGGCCTCAACTGAAGCTAGTGGCAGTGGCAGGGCTCCAAAAAAATCTATGCAAAAGAAACCTGCACACAAGCCAAAGCCCTCAGTGGCCAAACCAACTACTTCAAAGGCATCTGTGCCTAAGGCCACAAAATCTTCAGCGCCTCCACCTGCCACCAGTTCTTCAATGGCAGCAGCAAGAGCTTCAACACCAATCGTGCTCGCATCTTGCCGGCGCACTGAGGGCTTTCCAACAGCCTTAATAGCTGCAGCAAGTGCCTCGGCTAGTGGGCAACCTTCATCTCTGCTCAAGCTGAATAAAAAGGTCACTGCTGGCCGTGGTACTAGGCCAAGTCCCAAAAGCAAGGCCG